TCATGTATTTCATTGTTGCAAAATGCAGCCTCCCCTTTTTTATGGTCTTGGAATGCAATTTTTGTGTTCCTTCCCATTGTCTGTCTAAGAAAAAGTAGAGTGAAGAGGAAACTTCTATGTCTGGGAAAATCCTCACTCCAGTTAAATATGATTAGGAAAAAACAACAACCCTACAGTAATTCTACTTCAGAGAGGTTGAGAGAAGTTGTAATCTATGCTATTTGTCTGCAGTGGTATTGCAGAAATCTTATTAATTCCTATGAAGAGTTCACTTCCAATATTTTTCTTGTAAATACAGATAGGATTAACTTTGCTACACTGAAATACTATTAGATAACATTGGAAAAGAGAGCTATGGTGCTTGATTACACATTTTGAATCCTAAAGCTGGGATTTATGGAGCCAGTTTAGGCACACCCATGGTTTTATATGTGTTCGGTGTGAATTTTCTGGGTTTCTTGGATTTGAATTACAGAAATTCTCCCCCCACCCATCTAAAATAGCTTTTAAAATCCACCTACCATCAACAGAGTTTTGCCAAGTGGTTTGGAAGGGATCTGCTCTGCTAATCCAGTGCCTCTTTAGGTCTGAGTTGCTTGAATGTTTGACTCTTGGCAGAAGCCATGCACTAGGTTGCAAAATATCTTTTCTCCGTGCCTTTCCTCCCTTTTCACTTCTACAACTGTCTTCCTCTACAAACCTGCAATCCCTTGCCTCCTTGTATATTTTTGGAAGGGCAGACAGAGAGACTGCATCATCAGTGGGAGAAATCAGTGAGTCATAACACTTCTTTATGAGGAGCTTTGTTTCATTCGAATCTTTCTTGCCAAAAGGCTGACAGTGAATTTGAGTCATCAGCCCTGAACGAGCTGTAAAGAAACACAAATGTTGGGAGGACAGAATGGATTTGAGGAGGGGAAAAGGCAGGCATTAATTTATAACATCCACAAATTAGTATATGATTTTTGAGAGCGATCTGAGAGATTTTGGTGACATTATTGTACAAGTACACAGATCTTCTCAGGAACAGTTTGCATTAGAATGTTGTGTTGGTGCTCAAAGCTGATGGAAAAATCTGGCTTCAGTCTAATTCTTTATGTCTGACTATTCCCTTGAATTGTTTGGCTTAAATCTAAATTGGTTGGCCTCTAGATTCTCACCCTGGCACTAGAATTTTCAATTTAAAAAGGGTAAATCAAGAGTGGGCATAAGAACCCAGAACCTGGAAACTAGGAGAACTACATTCAATTCCCCCCCCCCCCGATTTTGGAATAATTGCATATTGTCATGAGATGCCTTGGAGAAGGGCCCCAAATCTGAACACAAAATTGTTTATATTTCATATACAGCTCAAAGTAATTTTAATACAATATGTTAATTATTTTGTGCATGAAACAAAGGTTGAGTACATAGAACAATCAGGAAGCAGAAATCTCTATCTCAGCCACTCAAGTGGACAATTTCAGATTTTGGAGTATTGGAGGTTTCAGAATTCTGGATAAGAGAAGCTAAAACCTGCAGTTCATTTTCTTAAACGCAAACAGCTCTGACTATCCATGAGACTATACTGTTAATTTGTTATTGCTTCCTCTAACATGGTTGCCAGGAAACAGAGAATATTTCCTCCTGTTTCTTCTACAGTTAGCAATAAGCTGGAGTGTGCGATCATGTCACCATTGATGAGTTTTCTTTCCATGTCGTCCATTCTTCAAATTATATTTCTGAAGACCAGTTCTAAAAAATAAAACAAAAGCAAGATAGAACATAATGTTTTGATCCGTTGATATTTTTTAAATGAGTGTATCAAATGAATTCAAATCAGAATTTCTTATATGTTTTAATAAACACATATCTCAGAAAGGCACTTGCTATCAAGTTATCTGCACAGCGGAAATTTTGTCATTGAGGTCGATGGGGAGGGAGAAAAGCTGGGCATCTGTGTTGTCATACCATTTCAGGTGCTGTGTTTTATACATCAGGACAGCATATCTATTCTTATTAACATACTAGCCGTCCCCTGCCACGCGTTGCTGTGGCTCACATGGGGGTTCTGTGTGGGAGGTTTGGCCCAATTCTATCGGTGGTGGGGTTCAGAATGCTCTTTGATTGTAGGTGAACTATAAATCCCAATAACTACAACTCCCAAATGTCAAGGTCTATTTTCCCCAAACTCCATCTGTGTTCATATTTGGGTATATGGAATATTTGTGCCAAGTTTGGTCCAGATCCATCATTGTTTGAGTCCACAGTGCCCTCGGGATGTAGGTGAACTACAACTCCCAAACTCAAGGTCAATGCCCACCAAACCCTTCTAGCGTTCTCTGTTGGTCATGGGAGTCCTGTGTGCCATATTTGGTTAAATTCCATAATTGGTGGAGTTCAGAATGGTCTTTGATTGTAGGGGAACTATAAATCCCAGCAACTACAACTCCCAAATGACAAAATCAAGATTGTTTTCAGTGAAGGACATATATTGGGTTGTTGGGTGTATGCTGTCCAAATTTGGTGTCAATTTGCCCACTGGTTTTTGAATTCTGTTAATCCCACAAACGAACATTACATTTTTATTTATATAGATAAATAAATAACTCTTTAGTTTATATCCATCACTGTAGATAGTATCTGAACTAGAAAGGAAAACAAGATTTCTTTCTCATTTTTCTAGAAGGTGTTAGTTCTAATTCTTAATCATGTATATGTCAGAAACATCTGGTGTAGCGACGTTGGTTGGCCTTTTGAACTGATTTCTCAATTCAAGCTCTGTATGATTCATTCTAGTTTACTTACTCCTTCAGAGTCTATACTACCCAATCCTTAAGTTCACATTAAAAACAAAACAAAGCCAAAGACATACACTGTGGGCTTACATCAGACTGAAACAATATTCATGCAATACTACCTCTTATTTGAGCTGTAAAATAACTAACTCTCCCACCTCCCCTGCAAAGTTGTCCACTATTTTGTTTCTAAAATTCTTGATGCTTGGGCTACCAAATATCATTTTTGTGGACTTCAGCATAAACCTGGCTATATTTACTCCAAAGTAAGTCATGTTGAACCAAATGACATATCTTCCAATTGGCCTGATTTCACAAGACAGTCCCTATTAATCCTCTATCACCCCACTTTTTCAACTGCTTTTAAAATGTCCCAGATCCTCTCCTCCTATCACTTTCTTATTCATCCTTGTTTTATCTCAGTTGCTGCAAAATGAGTGCAAACAGTGCAAAAGTAGGGTTGTTGTAGGTTCTTTCGGACTATATGGCCATGTTCTAGAGGCATTCTGTCCTGACGTTTCGCCTGCATCTATGGCAAGTATCCTCAGAAGTAGTGAGGTAGTCAGACCTACAACAATCCAGTGATTCTGGCCATGAAAGCCTTCGACAATACAGTGCAAAAGTAGTTTGGCCCAGTTAATTCAGCAGAGGGAGTAAAAGCTTGCCCTTCCTTATAGACTTAAGCAAAAGCAAACTATGGTAGCCTCTTCTATCTTTTTCGTTGTTCCTCACTGATAACTTTTGCCCTCTTGACTGCATTCTGATGTTGCTTGTGAAGTGTTGGAGAATTTGCAGGAGTTTGTTGTACAGTTGGCCCCTCCACATTTGTGGATTTTTGAGGTCCTCCAGAACAATTTCCACCTGAAGTTATGCTGGAGAACTTAGAGATCCCTAGAGGGAATCTCCTGCAGTGGTCAACTTCAAGTGTAAGCTAGCCATAGAGTTGTGCTGGAGGACATAGAAATTCCTGGAGGTGTTTTCAGATTTTAAAAAAGCGTTTTCTTTGTTCCTAGTTTTTCTATTTTCACAGGGATGCTGTGCACATAACCCCAACAAATGTGGAGGGCTAACTGTATATCATTTTGAGAATGCTGCTAGGCAGAAAAGCAATATGGAAGTTTTAGAAGTAATTTTGCATAACAGTTCAGGTTAAAAGATTCAGTTGCATTTGGTTATTGTTGAGGCTAAAGTAGATTCAGTTTCTTATTGAATGGTCTACTTGCATATGAGGTATGTATCCATTGGAGACAGAGCTCCCGCAGACATAAGATTTCTTAATGAATTGAATTTTGAATGTCATATACCTCTTCAGGTGTGGTAGGGATACAAGCACAGAGCTGCAGGCAATGTGCACTTTGGAGGACGCATATATTAGAAGTATATGCATGGAGCTGCTACCCATAGCAGCAACCAAACATACTGCTCATCCTTCTATTATGTAAAGCTGAACAGAAATGACCTTTATCTTTTATAGCTAATATAAACCTATGTTTGTGACTCATGCTTAAACTTTGTGGTCTGTTAAGAAGAGCAATAAATCAGTGTCCCAACTCTGTAGCTGTTCAGCTTGGTTTTTGGGTGTTGTGAGGTTCATTTTGCCTGTTAGAAAATGTCTTCCAACTGCTCTTCTGAAGAGATGGAAATAGTTTCTTTTTACAGTTTGACCATGGGAAGTACAATGCATTTGATACTTTTGTGTAATGCATTTAATGCTTTGGAGTCTTGAAGTAGGACTTAAATGCTTAGCCAAATGTTTATATTGTTATTTAAATAGTGAACCAACAGTTCCAAATCTTTTGTACACCCTTCATGCTTGATCAAAGAATCCCATTAATAGTGGAGAAAATGCTAATTGGTAATGTCTTTTGCCAGCCATTAGTGGACCAAGCATGCTATATAATCCACTGTTGATTAACTTAATGAAAGCTGATGCTGTTTTGTGTAGCAGAATATCCAAACGACAATGCAATCCTTTCTAATTCTTGGACTTTCCATACAGCCGGTATAAAACTGTGCTGAGTGTTTAGCTGCCAAAAATGGCTGCAGCGTAAATTAAATTTTGTAGGCAGAGTGAATGTAATGTACTTTCAATTGTCCATTCATTACAGTCGTCAAGACAAACAGACAGTCCCGCAGTGGCAAAGCATATGCTGCTTCAACTTGAACAGCCGGATGGTGTCTTCATTCAAGCTTTTATTGATTTTCCTTTGCTTTCCTTGGCAGGTGACATCACACAGAAGGGCTATGAAAAGAAGAGATCAAAATTAATTGGGGCCTACTTGCCACAACCTCCAGGTATGTAGAGATCTTCAAGGAATGCATAGAGCTGTCATGTGTATTGATCATTAGACCAGAATATTAATGTGTTTTTTGGGGGAGGGGGAATAATCTGGAGCACAAAGCAACCTGTCACTATTGTGCAATGTATGTAAATTTATCTCCCTATATGCGGTTTGTTTTTGTTTTTCTGGTGTACGGATGTATGTCTTGTATAAAAGTCTACCCACCTATACACCCTCTAGTGCCAATCCTTGCCAATGGCATGGGAACTGGGACTGGAATAGTTTGGAGGGGAGGTTAACTTGGTCAGATTTAAAGAGGTAGAACTATTAAAGATAGGTATGTAGCATTCAAAATAAAAAGAAGAGATGATAACATTAGCAAACTTCAACATTTAAAACCAACCAAAAGAATTCTAATCCTTATTCCCACGTACAAGTGAATTGCTTGCTTGGAGATGTCTAGGGTTAGTAAATAACAACAGAATTGTATTTAAGAATCCACCCCATCTAGATTTGCATTAAAAGAAGTGGCAGAATACCCAACATTAGTCCATTACAACTGAACATTTTTGATCTGCTAAGACTGGCTTGTCCATAGGCCAATCTTTTCCAGCCTCATTTTCTTCAGATGTATTTAGCTATAACTCATACTATCCACATTTATTGTGACCAATATGTATGCTGGATGGGCGTGAAAAAAGTAGTCTTCAATTATGTCTGCAAAGTGTCAAACTATGAAAGACTATCCTGCACTTTCCAATGTTACCAAACTGCAGGCAATGGAGAAACTCCTTTGAAGTGAGACAACAAGAACAGTATTTAAACAAAATTATATGCAGCAAATGGAAAAGAGCTGACATGACTACAGGCTACCCAGAACTCAGACCTTGTGACTTTAGGAGCTTGACATTCTTTTTCTTCTTGAATGCTTTCAGATCTTCTTGCTTACCTACTGCTTACCAGGCTGACTTGTCTTTTCTGCAAAATATTTGTGATAATGGCTCAACTTAGATGGAATTTTCATTTGAGATGGACCTACATATCAAATATTAGGGGCAGAGTGCAGTATTGGCTGCTTCCCTGCACTAGCTTGATAGTCACTATCATAAACAATGTGATGGGAGAGTGGCTTACTTTAATCTAGGAATACTACCTTATTAAATTATAATGTAAGCACATTCTGTACTAGTGCATGGTCCAAATTACACCTGCTTCATGCTTTGTTTTCTCCCACTCATGCAAATCACAAAAAAACCCAAAACATGGATAGCTTAGCACAGTGGTTCTGAACCTATGGGTCCCCAGGTGTTTTGGCCTTCAGCTCCCAGAAATCCTAACAGCTGGTAAACTGGCTGGGATTTCTGGGAACTGTTGGCCAAAACACCTGGGGACCCACAGGTTGACAACCACTGGCTTAACATGATATCTGAGGGAAAAATATATTTATGTCATTGTGCACAATACAACAAAAATCCCAAATCCACAAGAAGCCTGTGAAGCTGCAAAAGTTTTCCTTCTCTAGAGTTCGCCCAATAAAGGCATTGCTACTTGTGAATTTTAGATTTTATGTTATCAGAGCCTGGGATTTTGATTTTCTATGCTTAAACAAGATGTTATGAGAAGCCAGTTATAAACCGGTGCTTGTTGTAGGGTTATGAATCCTGATTTCCTTGGTGTAATAAATCATGGTTGGGCACAGGACTTAAAACTGAAATTGACAAGCTTGAGTGTGTCCATAGGAAGACAACCAATAGGGTAAAGGGTCTAGAAATGAAATCTGTGAGAAATGATTGAAGGAATTGGGGAGCCTAGAAAAGACTGAAAGGTGAGGTGGTATCATCTTTAAGTAGTTAAAAGAGCCATTATGTGGAAGAAGGAGCAAGCTTATTGTCTGCTACTACTGAAGTTAAAGCCCAAAACAATGGATTCATGTTAGAACACAAGAAGGAGATTTCAGCTTCCTGATGATGAGAACCTTTCAACAGTGGAATAGATGGCTCTCTAGTGCAAGATACTTTTGTAGATGTCCACCTCTTCAGGATGCTTTAACTTGGGATTCCTGCACTGACAGGCTTAGATTAAATGGCCCTTTTGATCTTTTCCATGTCTAATATTCTATGATTTCATAATCTCAAATTCAGACATGATACTGACTTTGTGCAAAGACTCCCAGTTCCCAGGTAATAAATTCAAACTCAAGTATTTAAAGAGTAATAGAAATAAGGTCAAACTTCTGTTTGATTTACATAGTGATAACGGAATCCAAGTTTGAAAGAGTTTTTAAAGTCGCTGTATTGGACATCCTACTGGGCATGCTAATATGAGCATTCTAGGAGTTGTAGTACAAAGAAGTGTTACAGCAGTGGTTCTCAACCTGGGGATCCCCAGGAGTTTTGGCCTACAACTCCCAGAAATCCCAGCCAGTTTACCAGCTGTTGGGATTTCTGGGAGTTGAAGACCAAGACATCTGGGGAACCCACAGGTTGGGAACCAGTATGTTACACGGTAACAAGGCCCTGCCTTTACCAATGGTTGCCAACCTTTGGGCCTCCAGGTGTTTTGGACTTCATCTCCCACAGTTCCTAACAGCTGGTAAGATGGCTGAGATTTCTGGGAATTGAAGTCCAAAACACCTGGAGGCCTAAAGATTGGGAACCACTGAGAAACCCTGCAAAACCTGCTTTTACTGTGACACTGACAATATACTTTCCAGCACAAATTTGTAGAATTGTAACAGTTAGATTCTTACCCTTTATAAAATAAAAGCAGATTTTAAAAAATACTGAAATATGCCTTTATTGACACATCTTGTGTACATTATTGTCAAATGAGGCAAAATTTACTGTGTACAAATCTAGTCCAAGAACAAGAAATTTAATCTAATAACTAGTCCACCCCATTACAAGTTGTTAATTTATTGTCCCAAAATGAACAGATTTCTGTTTCTTCTTAAGACTGGCAGATCTTTTATGTATTTGTGGTACTGTTATGTTTCTATATATGTGTCTTTGGTCATTTCCAAACAAAATTGGTGTTTTCATATGGTGGGACCGATTCTACCCTTAAGTCATACAGGATGTGGAAAAGAAAAATGTTTTCAAGTGCAAGTTGAACTGCAGAATGGTTCTGAGTACCTTTAACCTTTCGGCCCTATACGGCAATCCGTTGGGGAAAACAAGCTTGGATCTAGATTGGTGACTGATCTTTCAATTGAATGGCATTTCCCAAAACTTTTCAAAGAGGATGGAGGCATTCCACATGTTACAGTTTTGGTTACCGTGTCTTTAGCTTTTGTGGAAAGGTGCCCACCAGACTGACAGTAAACCACAAGGCAGTTCCCCACTGTCCCAGCATCCAATCCTCTTGCTGCTGCTTTGCTGACATTACAAACACCAATGTTGGCAGAGTGGGAAATTGATTCTGTGGCTCTGTACTGTAGTGTTTATATATGTGTGTGTGTGTGTGTGTGCATGTATGCGCACGCCTGTATGTGTACATGATGTGTGTGCCCACGCATGGGCTTGCGTGGGCACACACTTCACTGCATGGGAGCGGAAGCTCCATCCGTTGCTGTAACAAATGTAAAAAAACTAAACCTGATTTAATTAGTTTTTTTCAACTTGTTACAGCGGCGAATGGAGCTGCCGCGGTACGGTGTAGACTGCAGCACAGTGAAGGGGCCGCGAGGAGGACGCTCCGCACTAGCAACATTGGGGTCTGTGACATCCGGGAAGCAGCAGCTAGAGAGCGCTCAGCACCGCACAGCACAGCGGCAAACCGGCCTCTCTTTTACTTTCGTTTTGGTGAGCACAACATATCCCTGTATATATGTATATTTTATATATTGATGTATTTTAATGAATCTATGGGGTGGATTAATCCTTTCTTGGAAGGAAGGCCATTATAATAAAGAGACTGTGTTTCAAAAAGCCACCCATGAAATCCCAGCCTTGACAATCACTACACTCCATTGCATGTTTCACCGAATCATTCAATGAGCCTCATCTCCCAAGGTATATATTTGATCCTCTAAAATATCAGCCTTTCTGTTTTAGTAGCGGAATGATAAGCCAATAGGTTTTGGAATTAGATTTGTAGGATGTCCAAGCATTTGGAAATTGGAAAATAGCTCTAGTCCAAGAAGTAGTTTTGGGAAAGGGGGGAGGGTGGAAGAAAGGTGACTGATCATTTCCTTGTCAGTGAGACAACAATTCTGCTCTGGGTTTAATCCAGATTTTACGGGAACTATCTGAGTTGTGGAACATGTGCTTTAAAATAGGTTCAGCACCCTGGATAGCTCTTTAAATGCGTAGAACAAGACCCGTAGCGCATTCTTCGCCCCATTGGCATGAACTACCAGCTGCTTCTGGGATGGAGGCATTATAGTCCAGATACATTGCTTGCATTCTCTGCCATGTACAAGCCAGAATCAGATGAGGGATCTAAAGAAATGTTTCTTACAATTGCTATTGGGAAATGTTTTTCGTTGTCTGGTATAATGAAGGAACAAAGCAATGTCTTGAAGGCACACAACAAGAAGATACTGAATTTTCTAATTGTATGTTGAGGAAGATCCTGGACTCTTAATGGTCATTGCGGTGCTGTGAATCCGCCTTATCTTTTTGAAAAATCAGTTAGTTTTGTCCGCTTATTGGTTTTTCTTGGCCTTGGCTCCTTTTCTCTCGGGTGACCTAACCTGAACACAAATGGATAAGCTTAGGCTGCTTGATCTTCTTCCCCAGCGGCTGAACCTTCCAGCCCTTTAATATCACATTATTTTTGTAAGCTGCTTTGGGTATTTGTAAAATAGGAAAAGTACCCAGAAGCAAAACAAAACAAGCTAGAAAAGAAACAGGTTCCATCTGAGCAACTGTGCAAATGTTTTACTAAAGTAGAGGTGGGAAGAGAAAAGATTCGGTTCCATTGTTAGACTTGTGGATGATTTGTCATAGATCTGGAAAAGGTTCCTGAGTTTCCTAAACTACGTTGCAAAAGCAAAAAAGGGAATAAATACTTTTGTTGAAACTGAAAGTAAATTTATTCATGAAAGGAGCATAATTTAATTATTGTTGGCAAATTTCTACATCTAGAACTCCCAGAATACCCATAGCCAGCATGCTGTTGTTTAAAAAGTGTGAAATTTGCAGATTTTGGAGAAAATATCTTTTCTGAGTTTTAGTCAATGTTTTATTTCTAGCTTGGATTAGTGAACTAATAAAAGAAAGAAAGCATGCCCTACAAGACCCACATGTGACCATTCCTGTTTTAAATGTCTGCAGACATGATATTTTCTGAGGGACATCCTAGCCATGTGATTCCATGGAAGTAGCTAGATTTTCTATCTGTCTTAGCAGGATGCTTGAGAGCATTATTTTCAAGGAGAAGGGAATCTAACTCATGTTGTAGTGTAGGCAGACCAGTAGACAGCAGAACTACCAGTTCAGATTATTCCCAGTATAGTCTGTTTTGACTAGTAGTGATTCCCTAAAGACTTTGACAGGAGTCTTTCCAACCATCTGCTGTCTGGTCTTATTTATTGATTTGTTTATTGAATGAGAGGGAAGATCTTCTGCATGAAATTTGCCAATGGAGTCTCTGCCCTTCCCATGATAGCAAACTGCTAGGAGAGATTATATTATCCCAGTCTCTTCCACTTTACTGTTTGGTAAATTTATTAGGCTTGAGATTGCATTGTACTCTTAAGAGAATGGGTTAAGCATGAACACTCCACTCAGCACCCATTGCTGGATTTTATTCCTTTTCAATGTTGTGGTTATTTTGAGATATATAGTTTCATTGGCACATGGCTGCATGCTTGGATCCATTACATTCCTTTGTTATATGGAAACCAAGCTTAGAAAGTTACTTCTAACAAGTACCGTAAGTAGTTTCTTTTTTTAATGCCCCCCCCCCCCCGCAAGAAGTAGTAATCGTGCTGATAGTTCAGCAAAAGGAAAGTTTTTGTTTTCTTGTTCCTTAGGGGTAAAAAAAATGTTTTAGCTATGTGTTTTTGGGAAAAACCTGCTAGATTGTGCATGTAGGCCCAGCATGCATGCCTGCCTGCAGCCGAGCGCCTCTCCTCTAGAGTAGAAACAGGTAAGAAGCCTCTTTAAAGCACGAGCTTGCCTGCATCTGAATGTTCTCTTCTAGAATAAAACAGTTTAAATGCCTACAATGACAGGAAGAAGACCCTGGAAAGCCCCCTTCCCATAATGGGCCAATAGAAAACAGATTTTTTGGCACCCCAGAGTGAAAACAGATTTCTGCCCTGCTGATTTGGTGAGGCTCCCAAAAATGGATTGGTGCCCCCACGAAAAGCTGGGTCATGAAACGGGTTAAAGTTTACCCCAAATGCACAAGCCTAATAACAGTTAATGATTTGTAACTAGGTGCTTCCATTCTTAAGATAGTCCAAAACAGTTATGAAGTCATAGGATACCACTGAAGAGTTAACAAAATTTCATGGCTTGCTGCATAAGAGACATTTCCAATCCAACTTGTTTTAAATGGTGATTTCAAGCCAGGCTTTGACTTAAATCCATTCCATGCAGGCTTCTAATATGAGTTTCTCAATATGCTTTCTTTTGATCGGGGGGGGGGGGGGGGGGGAATCAGAGAGATATATACACACATGTTTACAAACTAGGGAAACATCTTATTGGTTTCTTTTCAAGCACAGCAAAACAAAAGAGGTACATTTGTGGCTTGCAGAAGCCAGTTAAGAAAGATACTGGAAGAGGCACATGTGAAACATCCCATATCCTAAATCCAAAATACTCCAAAATCTAAAATTGTCCACATGGGTACCTGAGAGAACAACCTCTCTGCTTTCTGATGATTCAGTGTATACAGTCTTTGTTTCGTTTACAAATATTTTTAAAATACTATATAAAATTACACTCAGTCTATTTGTATGAGGTATATAGGAAGCATAAACGAATTTCATGTTTAAACTTGGATCCCAGGATATTTCATTATGTACATATATGCAAATACATGTACATAATCTCTCTGTGTGTGCAGGGGGGAGAATGCAAAACACTTTTGGTCCCAAGAGTTTTGAGTAAGGGATACTCAACCTTTATTGACAATATGATGAACGATTGCTGCAGTTCTGTTTAACTAAATTGGCCACTTGTGTGCTTCAGCCAGACGAACCCTTGTTATACTGTCACAAGTCATCTTCTTCAACTGCTTCCTGCCTGTGGAGCTTCTACACATAGCTCATTCTTTTGATTCAGGATTTCCTTCCACACTCTTCCAACTCTTTATGTTTTAATGTAGAATTAGCATCTCAAACAGCTGTTGGCCCTGGTTGTTTTGGTTTTATTTTGCTTTTATTTAAAAAGGATAATAGAGATGCTTTTGCAATACTATTGTACATAATGGAACTTGAGCATCCACAGATTTTGGTATCCATGGCGGATCCTGGAACCAAACCCCAGTGGATACCGAGGGCCCACTGTATACGTTGCCCTTTCATCTTCTGTATTATATGGATTTGTAAATGGAAGAAACTCTATATCAGAAAAAGAAATGAAAACTCCTTCGTATCACTCCAAAAATGGCATCCTTCTGTGTGCCAGGCAGGTGACTAATGCCTCTGTTAATGCCACCTTCTTGTTGATTGCAACACTCCACTGCATTCTTAGTGTTTAATATTCTGCAAAGGTTTTGAGTCTCATACAAAAGTGTCTGCTCAATATTTTGTGCTGTGCTTTATCCTAGAAGGGAAAATGGGGTTTTTTTATAGTGGAACTTTCTGGCTTTGTTGAACATTTAATAGCAATTTGTATTCTGATTCCACTGTCTTCAAGAAAAATTGGGAAGAAGCCATGAAAAGTTATATTTATATCTTCTGTAAATGGGGAAAGAAAATGTTGAATGGGGTTTTGAATCCCGTATTCTATTTTGACCTTTAATAAAGGCTGTAAATTGAATTAGGCATTTTCCCATTTATGCCAGAGAAGTGTATGTTGATATTCTTTTTCTAAAACACCTCTTAGTTGGAAGGAAAACACACAGGGGAAAAAAGACAATTCACTTTCAAGGAAACTGAAAAGTTAAAATCACATTATCGTGCTGGTTTTTTCAACTGCTGTTTCTCGGGATTTATAAGGATTGGCGTCAAATCGGTTTCAACTTAAGATGACTGTAGGAAAGGAGAGACCTCTAAAACACCCTATTGTTAACCGCACAGTTCCAGTCTTGCAAACTCAGAGCTTCCTTGATTGATTATATTCACCTCTAATCCATTCATCTCCTTTCACTACTGCCTTCAACTTTACCAAACAATATTGACATTGTCAGAAGCTGTGTTGTATCAAGAGTGGAGTGATTTCAATGTTAGGCTACTGAAGGCTTGAATTCCCACTTGGCCATGGAAACCCACAGGGTGACTATCAGCAAATCACACTCTCTCAGCCTCAGAGGATGGCTAAGTGAAACCCCCTCCTTCCAAGAAAGCTCAATAATAATAATAATAATAATAATAATAATAATAATAATAATAATTTATATTCCAATTTATCTTCCCAGAGGGACTCAGAGCGGATTATAAAACACATATGAAGCAAATATTCAATGCTTTTAACACATAGGCAAAGGCCTTCCCCTTTTTCCATCTCCAGTGTCTGGAGGCGATGCTCAGCTCCGGCCATGAGGAGGAGCTCTTGTTCCATTTTTGCATGCCGAGGAGCCTGTTGTCCATAGACATCTTCAATTGTGTTGCCGGCATATCTTCACATCTTCAAGGGGCACCCTTTTTCCTTCATGCAGAGGCGGTAACTCTTGATCTCGCATTACATGCTTTTGAACTGCTAGGTTGGCAGAAGCTAGAGCTGACAGTTGGGATCTCACCCTGACTTGCAGTATTGAACTGCCAACTTCCAATTATCAGCCTTCCTGCAGTTAGTGGTTTCACCCTCTGTGCTACTATGGAAAAGAGGTCTGCTATTGCCTTCTTTTAGGGTTGAGAGTGTGTGACCTGCCCAAGGTCACCAGTGGATTTCATGTCAGAATGGGGATTAGAGTTGTACTCCAGCATTCAAACCACAACACCATTTTGGCTTCTTTAATCAAATGACCAAAACAAAAAGACGAAGCATCCACCTTTGTTTACAAATAAGATCAGCTTGTTTCAGAATGAATCAAAACATCATACATCTGTTAGAAGAGTGCCCGCCAATAAATAAAGCTGATGGTGGTCTCAGATAATAATCCATAGTGTGAAATTAGGGGCACTTTTTCACCCATGAAACTATGAAGATGATGAACTGTAACTGGTGTTGCTTCTCCACCTCCACCTCATGGTTTATAACACCACGGTGTCTAATTTATGGACCTAAAATAGAGCAGCCGCCTGCTCTGAGCAGAACTGCATGATGCTGTTTGAAAAGAGCCACTGAACTGATTATTTCAATTAGCTTGTATTTATTTTGAATCATTTGTCAGGGTGGTGCGCAGCACTAATCCATCCCAGTGCATTTCACTTGCTTCATATCTTTCCCTTGAATGCTGTTTCTTCTGAGATGCCACTGTGCAAACAGTAAATGTTCTACATCATCAACATTCTTCTCCTTAAGTCCTGTACATAACAATCCATATTTCCATGGAGGAGTCAGAGCTGGTAACATCTGCAGGCAGCAGATGGGGTTCATTGAGCTAAAGAGCTAAGAAAACTGTTTTGCAGAGGCTCAATGAGTAGAGTTTGATTTCCTGTGCAAAATCAATACAAGTAACTGGTGACCCAGTACATGTTTCTTTCTGGATTTGTTTAACTTGCTCACTGTCTCTCTCATTTTATTTGAATGGCTGCCCAGTCCCCTGGGAATTCACAAAGGTCAGCTGATGTACCTTCGCTAAGCTAATTGGCAACCGGTGGTAGGTCTGGCCCTATGCAATGATTCTCAGCTTGTATTATGATTTGCACCGTTACACGGTTGGACTCTTTGCCATCTTTTAAAATGTCCTTAGTTTATTTACATTTTAATACAAAAATCATTTCAGAAGAATAAATTAAAAATGAATTTAAGTGACTTGAAAATATTGTAGTGGGAAATTATTTACAAGCCTCAAGAAAATGACCAGATAGCCAAGTAGGTATTCCAGTCAAAGTTGACATCTATATGACATAAAAGGTAAAGGTAAAGGTTTCCCCTTGACATTAAGTCTTGTTGTGGCTGACTCTGGGGTGTGGTGCTCATTGTCATTTCTACGCCGAAGAGCTGGCATTGTCTGTAGACGCCTCCAAGATCATGTGGCCGGCATGACTGCATGGAGCACTGTTACCTTCCCACCAGAGCGGTACCTATTGATCTACTCACATTTGCATGTTTTCGAACTGCTATGCTGGCAGAAGCTGGGGCTAACAGCAGGAGCTCACCCCACTCCCTTGATTCAAACCACCAACCTTTTGGTCAACAAGTTCAGCAACTCAGCAGTTTAACCTGCTGCCCCACCGGAGCTCCTATATGCGGCAAAAGTATGATAACTGGGACCCAATGCCGAGACAGCGCAGCGAGTGAGAGACGCAGGTGTGACAGAGTTGTGGCAAGATAGCTCACCAGAAAGGGGGGGGGGGCAGAAAGGAGAGGCAACAAACAGCCAAGCATGGTGTTTAAGGCTATCCGGATAGCATATGCAAACACGTTCAGATATGTAACGTATTCGCTGTTCTAATTCTGACCCGTGTTGCGCAACCAGCATTGGGTTCCAGCTATCATACTTTTGCCTTATATGCCATACATTTAAATATTGTTAAGATTATGAGGCCCCCAGTCCACTGAACAGTAGAAGCGTGATATTTCTCTTGTGAATAAAGGTCACTTTGTTTTCTTAAGGATTGTATTTTGTGATGTTGTTCAGCAATTCTGACCCTGCCACCTTACATCTCACGTTTCATTGGTGTGATGATCCTTACAGTGTCACATTCTCCTAAGCTGTGGCACTAACATTGCTGGTGCTTTGGTGCAGTGCTTGACTTGTGGCATTTTCATGGGTACATTTCAAAGGCCGGTATTTAGACTGCATAATCCTCATCTACGAGGCAGGCCAGGCTGATTTACTTATTAGATTGAGAAAGGTGTATACTTCTGTAACTATAGGGCAATGAATCCTGACGGTTTCCCCCTTCCTCCCACTAATACAGGAGTGGATCAAGCACTGCCACAAGAACGCCGAACCCCCGTAACGCCTTCGTCCTCCTCTCGCTATCACCGCCGCAGGTCCTCAGGGTCACGTGATGAGCGCTATCGGTCAGGTATGTAGCAAAGAAAAATAATCAGGTTGGTAAATCATTAGAAGAGGGGATTAAAAACTGAGTCATCTTCTAACCTTAGTAGAAGAGACAAGAATGAGCCTATGATATGTGCTTGTATCATCCCCTCCATTTGAGGGATTAGACAAAAGTGTCATTCCTTCCGTATTTAAAATACACAACAAGATGTGAAAACTGTCAGCAGGGCTAAGAAAGCCTAAGGTCTGCTGAAGTAGAAAAACCTTTACAGCAAAGACAGAAAGTTTTGCTTATGAGAGAACCCCTAAAAAAATCTAATAAGTATTGAATAAGTCAAACTGTGCAGAGGAAGAGATCAAGGGCTGGTGATGGAATGAAGCAGCTCGAAATGGGGGCATTTCACACCACATTTTAGTGCAAGTACCACTTATTCCTTCTTTCCCCGCAAATCTTACAGTATGAAAAAGCAACTTGATTTCTGCATTGCAAAGGAGCAGAAAACGAGACAGTTTAACAGAAACACTTTTTAGCCAGTGTAGACATATGTTTGCAAAGTAATGTACATTGGGGTCTTTCATTCCAATTCCAGTTGACTGAAAACCTTTTAGGAAGCCCGGAAAACATGAACTTTTGCAAAGAGCCTGGGTTATTTTCCTTCTTGCGGGTAGAATAAAGAATTACACCTAGTTTTTGGCAGTACATCCCATCCTTGTTGAAAGGGTACAGATGTTGCAAGGGCAATCAGAATGATGGGGAACAGAGGACGTGACTATGAATTGAATCGATTTTCACCGGCAGACTGTCACTTTCTGCCTCTCAGTGTTCTTAAGTAGAAAAAGGGAGTTCATTTGGCCTTGCAGAACATTTTGCTTAGTGGTGATATACCAGAGTAGTTCATTCAAATCTGTGTATACATAATTGTACAGGTAATGGTGGCTGATGTTTGTAGCCTATCCTAAAATAGCAGACCTGAAGATCCTTCGCTGCTTGGGCCCCCTCTTCTTATGCTCAAGGATTCCCAGAAATACAGAACAAACTGTTGTGACATTTGTATAGTAGACAGTTTGCTCACAGAGTAATTAGTATTTCCAGAGTCCCACTGAGTTCTGGGGATATTGTTGTCTACTGTCTAGTCAACTTCAACTTATAGGACTATATGAATGAGAGCTCTCCCCAGAGCACTACTCATTTCTGCAAACTCAGAGTCATGTCTCCACCTATACTTGGCCATTTTTTCTCTTGCCTTCAACTTTACCAAGTATTATTGTCTTTTCAAGTGAGTAATATTATCTCATGATATTTCAAATGTACAATTGCCTCTTTTTGTTCACTTTAGCTTCCAGGGAGAGTATAGGTTTGTCTTGCTCTAGCACCCATTCATTTGTCCTTTGGGTGGTCCATGGTATCCATAGAACCACATTTCAGATGAGCTGATTCTCTTCTTATTAACCCTTTTCACTGCCCAGCTATCATTGAACATGCACAGTAAAATCAATAGTATGAATAATTCAGATTCTGGTATTCTAAGACATGCTTGAATTTAGTGATCTTTTCTCATCCCTGCACTTCTGCCCTTCTCAACTTCTTCTGATTTCTTGACTACAGTTTCCATGTTGATTAATGACTGAGGCAAGGTATAGAAAATCTTTAACTATTACAACTTCTTCATGGTCTTCCTAAATCATTTATGGTCACACACACACATATATTCAGCTGTAAGCCTGCTTTTTAACTTGTTCAAATTCTGTGAGTGGATCATATTCACATATGTGTGAGTAATATCCAATGAATTCAAGAGAACCTATTTGTTCAAAACAGACTTTGTAATAATAATAATAATTATTATTGTTGTTATTATTATTATTATTGTGTCAGTTATTGAAATTATAAAATATGGCATAAAATTAGACTTATACAGCATGTAGTGTTGCCAACTAATCAGAAGCTATAGTTTGTTCAGCTTCTCCTTTTTACTTTTATGGGCTAAGCATTAATAACTTTTGAAACATTTTAGTGGTCCTTAAGTAATATCCTGGTCTGCATGCTTTTGTTTTAATATATGGGCCACATGGATACTTTTCTTTTTCTCTTCTTATTACCAAAAAGGATGGGCAATCAGGATGCAGTCAAAAACTTATAGGTCAGTGGTTTTAAACTTGTGGGTCCCCAGGTGTTTTGGCCTACAACTCCCAGAAATCCCAGCCGGTTTACCAGCTGTTAGGATTTCTGAGAGTTGAAGGCTAAAACATTTGGAGACCCACAGGTTGAGAACCACTGCTTTAGGTTCTATGGGCACTAAAAGAGTAGCAAAAATATCTTAGAATAGGATTTTTATATCACAGTTGCCTGCTTGGGGATAAAATATGATTTATCAAGTAAGGAAAAACCAGTAAATACATCCAAAATAAATGCCTGTGTAAACCTGGGTGGGAAGGCTTTTCACAAGGGTTGACTGTTAACAGCATTTGCATATCAATTTCCATGGCACCACCAGCCGACCTAGCCACTTGATAACACCAGACTAATGACACTGAAGACACAAGAGGCTACAAATCCTATAATTCTGCTGCTTTGATCATAGCACATTAACTCTTTATCACCTGTCACTGCCAATTAGCACATGTCCTTATCCTGTTGCTAATAGACACATGGCACCAAAATTAATTATATAGTCATAATACCTAAAATCTGAGCATTTCCAGAAATTCCTACTAAATGCCTCCATGGTTTCTCCAGCAAGGCTGAAAGCTGAAGGACGATTCAGATCATTTAAATTCAACATTATTGCATAATAAATATTAACATTATTAGCATCTGTAGTGCTGGAGTTTTCAACATGTAGGGATTATCCATGTAGATCCTGTTTCTTAGAAGAACATTTAATTTAAATTTGTTACTAGAATCCAGAAAATTAACCTGAGCATTCAAAAGTCCTTGGTTATCTGGTCTAGAAAGATACTCTGGTGTGCTTTTGATGTGTTTGTGTATAAATACAGACACTCCCAAATAGAGAACATATATATCACAATGTTGCAGAATGAAGACTTCAGGGTTCTAACCAGCGAAGCTCTTTTATTGGATATTCCATCGATCTTCCCTTTGGTTTTCTAATCAACAACAAATACATAGTGATTCTGTAGCCATTGAAGATGATAATTCTCTAATGTTGGTTTCTATTCCTCTTGCTTTTGTTTATTTATTTCTTCATCTGCTTATACTTCTGGCAACCTTATGTTTCCAAAAACCTTGCTGGTACCTGTTTTCTCATATGTTTTGGCAGAGAATAGTTCACTTTTAGGACCTCATCACATGGGACTTTTTGCCCGTCTTAGGATGCTGCCAAGATGCAGCCAGGACGGAGCCTGTCACATGACATGGGGCTATTTACGGCAGGGCTCCGTTCCCAACTCCGTGAATGCTGCATCTTGGCAACGTGGTAAGAGGCAGCCCTGAGAACACGAGTGACTATAGACTAAGCTGGGGACAGTGCAGGACCAAGTTGGGAACAGACAGGAAATGGTGTTGGATGGTAACGGGTGATGCAGGCACTGCCCAATGGTTTCCTCCATGCCTGATGGATTTGCCCCACTGCCCAACAGATTCCCCCACTGTCCCTCAGCTTATTGACCTCTATGTGATGAGGTCCTTAGACTCAACAAAAGTGACCTCTCTTGATTACCCATTAGATTTTGCAGCTTTCTACTCCCCAGCCCAATGGCTGAAGAAGAGTTCATTTTGCCTTCTAGTTAGGAATGATAGACTCTATGGAGAAATTGCTTTCTCTATGCTGCTGAATAGTTGAGGTAGAAAAAAGGAAGCAGTAGTCCATGTCAACCAATATTCGTCTTATTCCCTATAATCCATCTTGGATCTTTCATACTCCGTTCACTTCATATGAAGAGGCACAGTATACACTCAGAGGTGGCCCTAGGTAATTTTCAACGGTAAGCAAACAGTATTTTGCCCCCCCCCCCCAACCAATCACTGCTCTTTGATTGTAGGTGAACTATACATCCCAGTAACTGCAACTCGCATATGTCAAGGTCTATTTCCCCCCAAGAGCGCCTCAAGAGTGCCCCTGGGCAAAATCAACTGTACTGCAAATGTATACTTTGCATAATGGGTTGAGCCACCCCTGTAGACACTAATAGTATACAATAAGTCCTTCAGTGTCAAGCCTCCACAAAAATAGGGAAAATGTTAAAATGTCACTTTTCACACTACAAAATATCATTCTATAAATTTCAATGTCCTACTTCCACTGGAAGGTGACCCTAGAGTCACTCTGGAGGACCTAGAGGTTCCTAGAGAAGTGATTCTGTGGGTGTAGAAAATTTGGTAGCAAAGTGTGACTCTTGGGAATCTAATTATCCCACATTCCTGATGCCTAATGTTTTAGTAAGTAAAACTTTGCACTCTACCTTAATTATATTTGGCCAGGTAGAAATGTAATCCAGAGAACTAGCGGTAGTGGTTTGATTGTTGAATTAGGACTTTGAAGACCAGGTTTCGAATTTCCAATAAATCATGGAAACCCACAAATTGCACTCTCTCAATCTCAGAGGAAGGCAAACCCAACTTAGGATCTCTTGAATTTGGAAATAACATGAAGGCACACAACAAAGAAATATTGTGGCATAAATGAATAAGTACATTTTACACTTTTTCCTCTAATAAAACCAGGACTCTGTATACAAGTTACCAGTACAGCAGCAACAGAAGCATAACATCTTTGCCTAGGGGCCACCCAGTAAGTCCCATAATTTTGTGGGGATTTAGACCCAGTCAAAGCTCAGCATTTTGCCCATTACCTCACCTGTAATACACTATGTTAATCGGTATGAATTTACACTTTTAACTCAGTCTGTGAATGAGGGGAAGATGCAAGCAGTGTGAGTTAGTATGCTCTTTCCCTCGTGGTTGCATGATTCGCTTTGTAAGGAGGCTGAAAGAATCTTGGCCTACTAACATGGAAACTTTAAATATTTACTAGGTAACACTTGATTGTACTGAGAAAGGCATGT